GGGCTCACGTTTTTGCTACAAGAAGTGGAGGAATTCGAGAGGTAGGAGAAGTATTCTAGAAGGATATATATGAAATTTTAAATAGAATATGTAAAAAGAAAAAAAAAAGTTCCAGGAAAAAGGACAACTTGTCTTGATTGGATCACACTTACATCCTGGGACAAGATGCCTTCCCCATCGTCGGTGATACAGCCCGTGTCACTACTTACGTCTTCGTCGTGGTCGAAAGCGTTGAATACGTCGTAAGGAAGGCATGACAGGAGATCTATGACGAACCATGAGCGGAGGTAGTTCATCCTTATAACCTTGGGATCCGAAACCACTTCACCACCGGCTCCTACGAAGGTAGTGTGGAAGTTGAGGACTATGTCGATGAAGAATATCACATCCACTATCGAGTCCACGACCAAGAGGGAGACGTCCTCGGAAGTCTTGTTCTTGAAGGCCACATTGTAAGGTACCATGATGGCGGTGTAGAAGGTTAGGCAGAGGATGACCCAATCCCAGATGGCTTTAAATGCGCAGTAGTGCAAGAGGATGTGTGGTGGCGTTTTTGGAGCTTCTTGGCGGTACTGCGGTAAGATGTCGGCATTTAAGGACATCATCTGGAACAGATTCGAAATGGCTATGAACTGTATTTTCTACTAATATAATATAACTAAAGTTTATAATATAACTAAATGAAATATTATAAACATATAAACATAAATTATAAAATAACTAACTTCTAGTGAAATTATTTTTCTATCATTAATTATTGTATCATTGCCTCAGTAACTATTGTGGCATTGCATCAATACCACAATAGTTACTGATGCAATGCATACCTGTACTCTCTTTACCTAAAAATACCTTGGGAAAGTACAAGAAAGCAGAAATGGGTGTTATGTATATTAATGTGTTCCCAATATTTCAACTCTCCTGCATAATTCCACCAAATTTTATCCCGCCATCAAAAACATTAGAATAACCTTCGATCAAACGTTTTCCTGGAAAAACCATGTATCCAATATTTCCCGCCGTACCATTTCTACTCTAAAATGTCTAAATTATTCTTTTCACCTATTTTCATTTGAAACCTGTATGCTCCTAGTCACTTCCTTAATTTTTCCCCACTTTGACTATTGCTGTTCGGAATAGGGGAGCGTCTCTGGGGATATCGAGGCAAAACTAAAACGTTTGATAAATTGCTTTGTACGATTCATATTCGGGATACCAAGGGACGCCTCTGTTTCTCATTTTTATGCAGAGTTGAAGTGGCTTTATCCTTCCTACCGTCGTAAATATTTTCTGGCATCCTTCCTCTTTCAGGTCATCCTATCTCACCGTCCTTCATACATCCTAGTCAATTTAATACCCTTCATACCTTGAAATCCCACCTGTTCAATCATTTCTTAATCATCCAGTCCCCATGAAATTGTAAATAGATACTAATGTAAATATGTATATACATTATTAGTTCGTTATTAATTATTTTTACTTATTCCTTTTTTCAATTTTTTATTTTTTTTTATTAACTGATTAGAAAGTAACTGATAATTTTTAATTTTTTTACTATGACTGTTTAATTACTCTTTATTTTTATTTATGTATCTCTGAGGCTTCTTTGACCATATTTATGTCTTTCTGTATTATTCTAAAGGGACTCGTCCCAGAATAAATAAAGCATTATTATTATTATTTCCATTCTTTATTCTCGCTTTGCGGGGTAAGTTTCTGAGGTGGGAGACCAGAAGTCCAGCCACTTCAAATTAATATCTATTACTTTTTAGATATTTAAAAACTTTCGAAAAATACGTGCCGTATCCAAGAGAACTGAGTGTTGAGCCTCTTTCAGCACTTCAAGAGGTAATTTTAATCCCATCGTGCCTGCCACTGTTGTCTTTGGTATCAATCCATTGGAGGATATTATAATTGGAGTGGTGGTGACGTTCCCCAAATGATATAATTCCTTCAGTTCGATTGCCAGTTCCTGGTATTTTCTCAGTTTTTCTCCAACAGTGGAGCTTATATTATTATCATTGGGGATCCCGACATCAATAAGCTCTGCTCTTTTCCTCTCAAATCTGTCAGGAGGATGTCTGGTTTATTGTGACGCACAGGTATTATTAATTATTCACAGGTATTATTATTACTATTATTATATATTGTATTTGTTAGTATAATAAAATCGTTCGAGAGTGGGAAAAAAAGGTGAAATTATTCTTATCAAATCATTTCTTCATTCGAAATTGTATCTTTCAAGCTCATAATGTAATTATCCATGTTGACCAAAACGGGGTATTTTGTACTTATAACTGCATCAGGTTTGTCTAGCTGTTCATGGTAAAGGTTCACTGCACGACAGTTCCTGGAACGAGCTCAAAGTCTTGTTCGCCAATCGTCTCACATTTTCATTGTTGAAATGCTTGAACCAAAGACGGGTAGTATTTCGATTGATAAGTGACTTCTTTTATGAAATACGTTTCTTCGGCGGCTGCCTTTGCAGTAATTTCTCAAAAGACAGCGAATCACAATTTTTCTTCTGATATTGCAACTAAGTTTGAAATATGTAAATGGCACCATAAAGCCAACTCAAGTCACAGAGAATTAAAGAATTAGTCGAAGTAAACATTGACATAAATAGTAGGAAGTAAAACATTCTTATAGGTTTAATTATGGGAATTACAATTAAGGGATTAAAATGGCTTTAAATGTATTTATTCAAATAAGCCGTATGCCATTGTAAGTAATATCAAAGTGATATTGTTTATAAGGATACTATAGTTTTATTACCCAGTGAGTGAAGGAATGAAAAGTGTTAAAACGAAGATACAAAAGCGGATTTACCCTAAGCTATGGGGATGGAATTCTAGAAAAAGGTCGCACGAATTATAAAAAATTCACTAAAGGTGGGGCGGGATCTTTTGTTTAAAAAGTTGAATAGAAGAACGCTGGACCAAAAGATCAATGATACAGCGAGATTTTTTTTTTTTTTTTTTTTAATTTTAAGGACTTGAAAGAGATAGACTCCAAGTAAGTATTTCTATTAAAGCTATTTTAACTTGGTATGCTAAAACGATAAGAGAGCTCTTGAGAACTTTGAAGATAGATATAATGAAGCAATTCATTAATATCTTCGATCTCAATTTTGGTATATTTGATAATCTCTCTGTACAAAATGTTCTAAGAGGATATCCATGATTTTTCTTCATTTCTAATTTATTCATTAGTCTTATCAGTGTAATATTTTTAAAATTGTACTTGAAGAAGGAAATGTTATCAGTATACTTACATGGGCCAGATGTGATTGCTTGGTCGAGTCCTTGATGTTGGGCAGGTGCGAGGAGAATTGCGATACCAAAACGGACCTGCTCCGCGTCACTGAGCGGGCCAATTTTGCGAATTTGCTTAGTCCTAAAAATTCATCACATTATTATTAATTATATTAATATAATAAAATACCAATGTAATTTATATGTATATCAGACCTGGACAAAAAGTATTAAAAAAAAATAAATTATTTAAAATGAGGTAAGGAGATCTCTCATCCAGCTCCCTTTTAGACGTCTTCCGATGGCCATGTCAGTCGTATTCATGTCTTTATAAGTCTGTTGTTGTGTCCGTGTAGTTTGAGATGGAAACGAGAGTAAAGAGAACGTGTTGGTTGATAGTTGGTTGTCATAATTCGTTATGTAAAGTTCTGTTGTTAACGTTCCAGAGAGCTCAAGGCATAAGTCGTAAAATTTCGTTTTGAAATGACTAACTTTTGTAAGTGGATTTGCCGAGCCGTAAATCTGAGAGATAGGTTTGAGTAAGTAAGTTTTTGTCGAACTTTTAATTTCGATTTAGAAAAAGTGAGTACAGTATTTTCAGTCGCTTGTTTAAAGTCTGTCATTTCATTTTGACGTGAGGGCTCCAGATCACCCTTCTGTCGAATATTAGTCCAAGGTAACGTACTGTGTTTGTCTGGAGATTTGGTTCTCTTCTATATAAACTGGTGAGCACGTTTCTCATCGAAGTTTAAATGTTATATGTTGTGATTTGTCATGATTTAATGTTATTTTCCAAAGTGAGTACCAATTTCGTAAATTCATTAAGCGATTTTGTAAATTCGTTGAGGCTAGTCTGATGTTACGGTGTTTAGGTATGTCATGCGTATATATAATGTAGAGTAAGGAGCCAGTATAGATCGTTCAGGTACTTTTGCCAACACTGGTCGAATTGAGGAAATTTCTAGACCCTGTCGGACAGAGAAAAATCTGCCGAAAAGGAAAGCTTGGAGAATGAGTTAGTATATATGATATAGTAAAGTTTTTAGTTTAGAGAGAAATCCCTGGTTCCAAACTTCTTCAAATGCCTAGGAAACATCCAGAAACACGCCGGTTGTGTATTGTTTTTTTCTCTAGTGCTCCAGCAATGTTGTCAGTAACTCTATGTAATTGGTGTGTTGTTAAATGGAATGCACGAAAACCGAATTGACGACCAGGAATTATTTTATATTAATTTTTCGAAAACTTTAGAACATATTGGGAGAAGACTTATCGGGTGGTAGGATGAAGGATTGAAAATATCCTTGTTCTTTTTGTGTATTATTTTGATATGTGAGTATTTCCATTGTAGTGATAATTTAGTTTTATTCAGCATACAGTTGTATATTGTTGTGAGGAACACTAGTTCTTTATTGAGCATTTGCTGGAGCGTCTCGGAAGTTATCAAGTCATAACCTGGGGCTTTTCTTTTGGGTAGATGTTTGATTTGCTGTGAAACTTGTGAAGGAGTGAACGAGAAAGAGGGTAATGTCAATGGTAAACGGCAGTGCTATATCTACAGTATTTAGTACAAAGGTTGTTCGTGAAGTCAATAAATGGTGTAAATACAGATGATAGATGGTCAGCAAATAGTTCAGATTATTCCCTATCCGAAAAAGCCCATGAATCATCCTCTTTTCGCAGGGGTACTGACACCTCTCGATATTTAAACAAATTCATATTATGCTTCCACAAACTTCCATTGTCAGTCTATAGGCTTTTCAAGTAAGCATCATAGTTTGTCGCATTGAATTGTTGTATTAGTAGTTTAATTTGATTATTCAGTCTGTCAAATGTTCGTTTATCTGAAGGAAGTCTGTTAGTCTGCCATATCTTACGAGCTCTTCTCTTTGCCGTGATCAAGTCCCTTATATACTAAGGGTATCGAGGCAAATGTTCAGATCTTGATGACATTGGAAGAAATGAATACTCCCTTCTTATTCTGATTTGTACTATTGTATTTTACTTTTATTCCATATCTATGGAATGTTTTAGTGATAATCTTTAAAATAAATGTTACCTCCTTTGGCATCCTCGGTCTCTATGGGCTGCTTGAGGGCGGTGATGTCCCGGAAGGTGAGCAAGAAGAGGACGACCAGGTCCCGCTCGTTCTTGATCGGCGCGATCTGGAGGAGTAGCCATAACGGAGTCTCTGCCCAACAGCACACACTCATAGCATATCATCATTTATAGCCATCATTTCCAAGGCCGATACATATTAAAGAATTAGTAAAATATTTCTACTTCATTTTTCTATCAACAGTAATAAAAAATAATATTGATCTAGAAACTCAAAGTATGTTAAAAGATGAAAAAATGGTGCAATTTCATGCCATATTCTCAAATAGCAGAGAATGAACATGGTGTGGTTCCGGGGAGCATAGTGCACTTAGTGTATGCTATTATTATTGTTTTATGTTATTGCTGTATCTTCAAGTCAGGGGTGCCTAGAAGGGGGTTTCATGGCGCAAGTTTTTGAGGGGGACTATTTTGCTGGGTTTTTGAATTTTTGAGGGGGGCAAATTTCGATGGGGTTATGAATTTTCCGACTAATAAACGACAAGAGGAAAGATAGAGCAGATTGCAGCAAGTTTGATTGTAAATGGTCAACGATTTTCTAATTTTTCTCTGTTTTTAAGAAACGAGAGTAATAAAATAACGTAGGAGGAGGGAGAGAGGGGTAGATTCTTGCGCCATCTACCTTGTAGGTGATGAGCACCCCTGATTCAAGTGATGTGGTACTAAAATACAAATCAAGATAACATTTTATTATTTTATAGAGTATTTGAGAACAGAAACATTGAGTTTATGATAAGAGAGATGTCTGAATTATTGTAATTTAGTATTTTCTGTGAGACTTAATAATTTTATACTAATAATATTATTTTATTTTTATGCCTTCTACACACAGTGTAACTCAAAAGAAACTGATCATTAATTCTAATCACAAGCCTGTTCGCGATGAGTTTTAAAAGTTTACTGTTTTTTTACAACTTTGAACTTAATGTAAAGGAGGAATAAATTATATTACAGTTAGTAATTCCAATTACTATCCAGTTCAGTCTTATATGAGCAGTTTCGTGTGGGGACAGCTTTACATTAATTTTTTTTTGTACACAGATTTCACGGATTGTCTTACTTTCCTCCTTTTGCTGTAAACCATGGTTTCCATGGTTTAGGGAAAAGCTATCTTTGTCTCGATTTTTTATTTTATACCAATTTGACCTTAGCATCAACTAAAGTTTAAACAGTTTGGTTCAAGAACATTGACAAATCGGCCTAGATCCACGGATGTTGGCTGTTCAAGGTCAACAAGCCAACAAGAGTTTGTGCGATGCAGTTAATCAATTGACTCCAGATGGTATTAGAATCTGAGAACAATAACCACATCGCGATTCCTGATTAATTTAAACGGAATAGGCAGACAAACCTGAGAAAGTTCGGGTGAGGCATATTGACAGAATATTGGTCAACGTGGTCCACTAGCGGATCCAGGATTTAATTATGGGGGGGCCTTCAGCCCGAAAGGTTTTTTTTTTCATATACATATAACGATAATTAATTTGAAAAAAAAGAAAGAAATTAACTACCTTTATGAAATGTTGTTTAAGTGGTGCTTGAAGTCCTATTATATGTAATTGAACGAACAAGAATACTTTAAGAGATAGTTTTTAATATTTTTTTCTGTAAAACATGATTATAATTTACCATTTTGGGGGGGGGGCCGAAAGTCCTCCCCCTGTGGATCCGCCTATGACGTGGCCTTCCGATATCAGTCATCCATCGAAGGACTGTGTGCTTTGTATTTCTATTGCAATAAGCAATAAGTATCTTATCCCATCTATCTGTATATATATATATACATAAAGTAGCTCAGTGAGTAAGGCAATAACGCTCTGCATACCAAGTGCACACCCAGCCTCTATAAATTGGATAACCCTTAATTGGTGGAAAACGTGACGATAAAACGTGATTCTGGCCAAATCCTCTTCGCACAACTGTTAGCCTTCCTAACTAAGTACTAGATTCAAGGACCTAATCAATAATTACTCAATTTCTGTCTTCATAAAAAAATTTACCATTTTTTTTTTTTTTTTTTACGTTTATACGAAACTATGTTAGTCAATCTCACTTGATGTACTCTGTGTTTATGAGAATGCTTTATATTGCTAGATTTATTTGTTAGTGAAATGCACCAGATTGTTCGAAATAATAAAAATTAAATAAAAATGATAAAACCTTCATACATACTCACTCTATCATGCACCTGAAACTTACCTTTTCTCCGTTTAACTTCTTAAAAAAATATATTTCAAAAAATTAATCATCAATATGTGAAAGAGTGCACTCTATTTCTAAATTTCGAATTTGTGGGATATACTTGCAAATTTAAATATTAATAAGTACGATATTCGATTTTCTAAAATTGTTAAAAATTAAGTGCTGAACTAAAGGCGTAGTGGTGTTTATTAAAAATTATGTTAATATAATTAAGAAAATATATTCAGAAAAATACACATTAATGTACTTATATCAGATGAGTTTTATTAATATACGATATTGTATAATGTACATAAAAAGAAAAAAAGAAAATTTCTGTGGGTATTATTTTAATCAATCTTGACATCTGTGTCACCGATTTACATGATTTTTGGTTTATTAGTTGTATAAACAGGATATATTACAAATATTTTTTGTAAACAATTTTCACTTGAGGTTTTTTTTAATATCTATGTTTTTAGAAATATTGAAATAGTGAATTTGATTACGAAAATGCTTGTAGGTTAACAACCAATATTGCTAAACGTAACTTTAAAAGCTCGTTTAAAAGCTTATTATATGTAACTTGAAAACCTCAAATAGTTTGAGAAAAAAATATATTAAACAAACTACACAATAAAAAATATTGTTATGTTTTTAGTTCTTATGATTGATGTACCAAAATCATGTTAATCGAAGACATGCAGGTTTAGAAGTTATTTCCCATCGGATGTTATATAATAACTCTTATAAATTATGATAGTTGTTATGTAGAGTAAATGCATAAACGTATTGAGCATACTATGTAACGTAAATTGAATTGTTTTGAGTCTGAGCTGAAGGTTCCATTGGGATCCGCAGTGTATTATCTTTACGTAGGAATATATTGATATTAAATTCTGTATCAAAACTACAACTTTCAGAATAAATAGCTTCAAGTAATAAAGAAAAAACAAAAAAATTTCGCTAAACTAATTCCTCGATTATTTTTTTACGGTGCGATATCTACGTTTTCGATTATGTTACTGTGTCTGATATGAAACAATAAAAAAAAAAAAAAAGAGATAAAAAATATATTAAAAGAAAAATGATAAACTACGGAAATGATGGTAGAACCAATAATAGTAAATAGAAAGTAGTTTAGGTAAAAGTTAAAGCAGCTGATGTCAAACTCCCAAGTGGGAAAGCGAAAAGCCAAAATAGAAGAAAGGGAAATAAGGAAGTGAGAGACATACCTTTCGGGGTGCCTGGAGGCGGAAACAGAAAAGACAATGTTGTGGTTAACAAAAATCTCATCATATTGGATCTATACACATGGTCTCTTGCTGGTAGCGTTCCACTCCATCTTGATGCCATACATTCCATATTCCTTGTTATCTTACAGAATACTGTATCTTCCTCCGCTGATTTTATTTAATGTATCAATCAAAATTCATTCGAAACATTTTTTTTTTTTAAGGTTTACTGGTAACGTTAAGATTGCTGACTTCTTGTCATCTTTCTGAACTCCAACAGAATAATATGCTTTGAAAAGTCCTATCACTAATTGAGTACAATCTTTATTATAGATCCATTTTTAATATTCTGGAGTTCGCGCGTATATGGTATATACATTAAAACAATTTTATTTTTAAGTAGAGATTGATGGTTGACTGTAGTGAATAATTCAAGAGAAGGATGGTTGGTGTGATCAGTCCAAAAAAACCATCTGAAAATCATCTGAACGATATTGCAGATTGGGCAACAAGATGGAAAATTAAGATGAATGAAAAAAAAAAGTGTGCATGTAATATTCACTCTTAACCATAAACCTTCCCCTGAAATATATTTTAACAACATTCAAATTCCAACATCAGATGTAATTAGGTATTTAGGTTTTTACCTGGACAAAAGACTTACTTGGAGGACTCACATCAGACAAACACGAATAGAATTAAACAGACGTTACGGTCTCTTATCCAGATTACTTGACAGACGTTCAAAATTATCTTTAACTAACAAACTAACCCTTTATAAAGTCTTACTTAAACGGTGGGGCTCTGCTAAAACTTCCAACATTAAAAAAGTTCAGTCCTTTCAGTCAAAAGTGTTGCGAAGGATACACTACATATAGACTTAAACGTACCTACAATTTTAGATACTGCAAAAGAGAACTACAATAACTTTCACCAAAGACTGACGTAAAACATGAATCCTCTGACAGAAATCCTTCATCGTACAAGAAACCCGTACAGCCCACTACGACGATTACGTAGGCGTTGGCCAAGAGACCTGCTGATCTGATTTATATCCCGAACGTGATGGGAAGCTGTGAAGCTGCCAAAAAATTTGCTTATTGTAATGAAATTTGTAGATTGCAAATTTAATCTACTGTTCCACATTTTTGTTTGATTAATAATAATAATAATAATTTTTTAATGCTAATAGTTTCTCATACCTATTGTTATCTGTTTTTTTCGTAGCCCTGATGAAGGTTTGAACTTTGGGCCGAAACGTCGGCAAAAATAAAAAATAAATATACGTATTTATTTTTACTTTTTTTTTTTTTTACTGATCATCCCAACCATTCTTCTCTTCAAATTTATGTTTATATCTGTTCGTCAATTTGAAATGTAATCTGGAAATCTCATCAGCTATTTTTCATCCTCTTTCAGATTTTCTTCTTAGCAACATAATTAATTGAGGAGGAGGGTACCTCAATGAATGTAGTGCTCCTATACTCCTGTGGGCTATCCAAACATTATTATAGTCTTAATCAAGGGAAAATCTGGTTGAGTGTGATTTTGGAAAAAAACACCTTGCACAACCGTTGACCGAAAAACAAAACATGTTTACAAAGAGCTGCATTATTAATGTGAATCTATTATTTTTATTTTGAAAGTATTCGCGTCT